AAGTTTCAAATACATACAGAATGCAGACGAAAAATACAAATGAAGACATAGTGAAAACATAAAAATATAAAATATAAACGGAGAACAAGGAATGGTTAGAAAAAACAAAACAGAAAAGGTATCTTAATTATCAATTATAAAGCAGCTGGTATATTTTTTAAGTATGTACAACCTTAGTATGTACCATGCATTTAAAAAATAGTTGGTGTCCAGTGGAGAGAGAAGTAAACAGTACTGTTGTCTCCTGAGATTCTACATCTTCAAACACTGCAATCTTTGTTTTTGGAGTGCGTTTCATATTATAAAAGCCTTATAATTTTGTTCTGATAGCTGAAACGAATTCTTCAACAAAGAAATATTTTGTCGAATGAACTGTGTGTCAAATACAGAATAGACTTTTTGAATACAATTTCCCTTTCAACATGTGGACGCAATGTTTTGCCTGTTATGTAATGTTTATGTTTGTTTTAATAACTTTGGACTAAACAGACTTAATTTTCTATTGGCTTCAGATATTGATCAACAGTTTGGCACCCAAAGGGTTATACAAAGGAGTGTTTATATCGATTATCTGACACCCAGGTATGTCTGCAAGTGTGTATCAGACTGTGCAACAATTCTCTCCATGAGTAGACATTGAAACCCAGTCCAATGTTTCTATAGGGTTTGAGAGATACATTACCAATGATATTGATTACAAGATAAATAAATGATTGACTTCATTAAACACGTACAACAACACACATTTCCTCTGGGACCAGTGAACTTTGAATGTGTATCACCAGTAATCAGTCAAGTCGAAAGATTTTGACTACTACTTTCTCAATTTTTGAATGATATTTTCACACAAGACATATACAAGGAATATTTTATACTGATGAATTAGGTGATAAAGTTTGATACAGCTTGGAATAGAATTAGTAAAGTTATAGTGTGTACAAATTAACAATTATTAACAATACCTGATCCCTGATATACCCTTCCATCTTTGATGATACAGGCAAGGTAAACAGACAGTTAATCAAATAATTATGGCATAAGGAAAATGAAACTGTTTCACAAACATAAGGCCATTTATTTTTGTCTTTAAAGACGGCAAAATTATTGCTATTGCTGTGGTCACTCGACCTTGTCTCAAGGGTAATATATTCACTATCACATAGCCATAATACAGAGATGGACACTATAAAGAATGTTGACCTGCGGACAACCATTTTCGACTAACACAGCAAGACATAAATTAACCATTTCCTTTTTTTAACACACATGATAGATTACCAATGCAAGTCAGCAGTTTTATAGATTTCACCTTCCTCTTGTGTATTGTGTGGTTGGGGTTTCTGCTGAGCTAATGAAACTTAGCACTCATAATTTAGCTTCATGAATGGTAGGCTACAGGTACATAAGGGAATCAGACAGCCCGTGTAATGCTTAAAACAGCAATAGCTGTGAGATTTATACAGTGATTCTTGAGGTTTGCTTGATAAGTGATTTAATGCATGTCGTCAGTATATAGCATATATTTATAATTCCATATCCCCTATTTTGGCAAAGGTAATTACAAATTGACACTAATAACATTTTTTTTTTTTATTAATTGGAGAAAAAAGATAGTTAAAGTTATTCAGTTACAGCTGCTTTAACAGGGTTATTCTTACTGTACAAAATGTTTGATCCAAAATTAATTTAATGACTAACTATAAAAGATGTTGTGATGAGATTGAATTCTTCAATGGTTGTTCATTAGACAACATCTTCCCTTGTCACCAATTGAGCTGCTACTCTCAACTCACTTGTTCCTCTGATGTTCCTCCCTAGTCGATAACAGTTCTCAACCAAATTGCGTAGTTTCTAATTTTATCTATTCATTACATTTATCATGAACTGGCCATAGTTCAAGCTCATTGTCAAAGTAAGGGTCGTTTCAATTGAACATATAATTGTCCAATCCCTACTCAGATGGTAAATGAACAATGGCAAAATACAACCATATTGTTCTCAGTGTGGAAAGTATTATGTGACGTAGGCATGACATAATAAGTTCTAAATCTAAACAAAATGCGTGAAGTCTTATTGAGTGTATGTCTTTAACTTAAGGACTGTACGTCTCTTATGAATTGCATAGCATAGATGGGATTCTGAAAAAATACTCTTGGTAGAATATGCCAACCTATATAAATTGATTCTAATACTCCTCAGCAATCATCCGTCAATCCAGTTCAAGAAAGTTTTAGTGCTAAGCGTCCAAGACGTATTGCTGTTGACTGGAATAAATGCATATTCTGTCAAAAGTGAAGCCTAGTATAAAACTATCTCAGTGTCTACTTCTAGAAAAATAATTGAATTGTCAAAACACAAGGTGATGCGATGCAGACTTGCAGATTGCTATGATCATCCTGCCTCCATGAGGGAAATAGGATTTGAATTGTTACAGAACTTTTGAGGTAGGAATTCTAAACTAGCTGACATGGGAGGAGAAATTGATGACACTATCTTTTTTCCCCCCGCAATGTGATGGAAGAATTGCAAAGAGGCTTGTATAAAGGAGAGGTCTATTCTCTGAAGACTGTGTGGGACAGATACTGCCAACTGCTTACAGACAAGGATGTGACACTACCAAGCTCGTATCATAGTCAAAATTTCAAAGATTGAATAAGACAGTATCTAAAAGGCAATGTTGAATTTGTGCGTCCTCTTGATCCACATGAACATACTCTGGTGTTTCCACCTTTATCATTTGGGGCTGCCATTCAAATTTTGGATGCCTCATCAGCCTTCTCATTCTGAACGGGAAGCTGTTGACATTGATACAGAAATCCTGAGCTGGTTGTATAGGGCTGCCTTGAAAGTTCGTGGTGATATACGAGTTACATCTGGACAGAGTGTGATTGGAGGTATAGACAACCAGTACTGTGCATAACAATAAATTTAGCATAATAAAGAATATATAAATTTAAGTTTTAATTGCCATATCTATTGTTATGCTAAACATGCAAGGACTAAGGAATGAAAATTCACATATACATCACATTTATGTAATAAAGACAACTGTAATGAAGTTTCAGGTTAATTTTTATTATTAAATCATGGTTATCATCATCAAAATCTATAGTCTTTATTTAATAGAGGACACAATGTGTCCATACATCCAAATTATTGCATGCTTGAAGATAGCCATGGTTTCGTGGCATTTTGGGTCCGGGAAGGAATTCTGGGAAATTGGAATCTAATTAAACTCAATTACAATGCAATACAACTTAGAATTGTGATATAATTAAGTTTAATTAAATAAAAGTTGAATATCCCATGACTGAACATAAAAAAGTTTGCGAAGCTTAGGTTTAGTAACGTAGGTAGTACCTTCCCCCTTTACTAAACCTAAGCTTCGCAAACATTTCTATGCACACAAACACTAACTGCAAAGACCATTATGTGTTTTTGCACACAGAAGTCAAAAATATTGGGGTGACATGTCATCAGTGCAGGGTTCTGACCCCATCATTGTCCACAGCTGATTATTTCCGCTACAACCAAACTGTCTGTGGTGGGTGCCCTGACCCTATGGAGGAGATGAATATGGTTTATATCTAGCTGAGAATACTCACTATACGATTGTGCCTGATACTGCCAAAACATTACAGATGACTGTCGTCTCAGGAGAGGTCCTCAAAATAGCATGCGTCTTATCAGAAGATCTGAGGTTTGCATGCTCTTGTTCTTGATAAAAACAACTCTTGATAACAGAATCATGCTTTGTGGCACACTGAGCAAGAAACATTCTTAGCCTTGCAACAGTGGCAATCGACTATGTCAAATTATTTCATTGCCCTATCGAGTCAGAAACCACAACAACTTTAGTTAAATCAGAAAAATTTGTACCGTAATTTGCATTCTTAGATTTGTAGAGCTCTTTTATCTAGAGGCATTATTACTTTCTTATTAACATTCATTTAACCTTTTTAACACCAGACTTACTAGCCCAAATTTGTCTGCACTTTTTTTTATTATATTTATCAATATTTCCAAAAAAATGAACTCTAATTTAGGAGTCAATAGTCAATTTTTCTCAAAAGAATTAAACTATTTTTGTTTCAATCTTCAAAGGGAAAGTGCTGACTATAAAAGGGACTATTTTTGTGAATTTGTGATGAAAGGAGAGTAATGGTGGTAAAAAGGTCAAGGCAAAAATAGTCATCTGTAAACGTGCATACTTCCCCAATTATATATGTAACTTGGGTCAGTTCAGATGGGTAACCACAACAAAACACAAGTCCTTGTTTCAAACTACAATGTACGTTTGACAAAAAAGTGTAAAATTTTGAAAAGGTGACTTTGTTAGTCGAGGCTATGATATGCCAAAAACACATTCCTGTCAGTGATCACAGCTTACACTTTTCAATTTTTATACTCATTTATTAAAAAAACAAGATGAAAACTCGCTCATTAATCAGTGAATTTGTAACCAGGATATCATAAAGTGAAATTTCATCTGTCCATTCCTGCCTTGAATAAACATACCAAATTAAGTACATATCTTGTGACTTTAACTCCCCATTATTCCTAACTAGAGACTATATATTTGACCTTTGATTCAAATAGATCTGATTGGAAGCACCTATGAAACAAGCAACCAATCAGAATTGGTTATGTGTATGGCAAAGAACATAAAACAAAATGGCAGGAAGCTAGTTGCTACGGACGGCGCTGAACAGGCTCTTCTTAGGGAAGAGCAGTGAGGCATTGACTGAATAAGCAGATTTTGTATTCTTTATACACTACTCAACTAATATCTCATTACCCATTCAAATTCACAAGATTTTCTTCCAAAATTAGCCTAGAACATTTGTGGTGTTTTATACTCACTATACATCACAAATGCCTACATGCAAGTATGATACTAGTACTATGTCATTTCCAACTGTGTCAAGTCCAACAGGCTCAGTGCTGAACCACACACTTCATGGCCTACAGTCAAGATTAGTCATGTTCATTTAGAAATCCACACTGTCAATAAGTATGTCTATTACTACACACAAATTCAAATATTTAAGTCACAGTTTTCTACATGGAGTTTAAGAACACCTTGACGATGAAGTTCAGTTAATAAACTAAATTCTGTAGAAAATCCATGTGTCCACTGATATGTTGTCCATGGAATATCTTCTGAATAATGCATTGGAAGTGAGTTACCACTTGTGTCTACTGGGAACGGCCAGAAACCATACAAATGTATCTCTTCACAAAAAGAAAGTCCTATACTAACCATGGTCATTCCACTGGAGATACTTTTACCATTTATGTGCCAATACTCAGAAAATTTGTGTGAATATTCTGCATTTGACAAGACCAGCTGCAGATTTGAGTTCTTTTGCAATAGTTCAGCAAAAGTGAACGCAGATTTCATTGATGAAGCATGGGTCCAGCTACTTGGCACCCACAAAAGATAACCATTGTATTCTTTCAGACTATTGAGAAATTCTTTCGAATAATAAGCACCACATGGATCGCCATCGTCAGATATTGTCTTTGCAGAACAAGCTATACTTGTCAGATTGGTTTTTCTGCCTGCATCATTCACAAATTCTTGGATTCGCGGCATGTTCATCCTGAAAACAAAATCTGACTTGTCAATTTCCTTACCACAACTGCTGTTCTTCAGGATTCCACCATTCCCAACAATAGCACATTTGGAAAATCTGGATTTTTTTGGAGGGAATGTTTTGGCAAGCAATCCTCGTTTTACTTCATCTATTTTCACATCTTCCTTAAAATATATCCCATAATACTTGTACCCTATTTTTGTGTTTGCTTGACATAACACTGGTTCTTGGATATTTATAAATTTCTTGAGGTCCTTTCGAACTTCTGCAAATCTAGTTTTATCAAACTTATGATGATGAAGCAAAGATGCTGCTGTATTCAGTTCTCCCCAATTTGCTTTCCAATAAACAAGGGCACTGTATGCAAGAATGTTATGTCGATAGATAAAAGTTATGTACACAATTCCTAACAATCCACCCCAAACGCAAAGTCTTCGTGTTGAATATTTCATCATTCTGATGTTTACAATTCAGTCACACCTGAAACAAAACAAATTAAAATATTAAGACGTTTTTAACTCAAATTACTTAAAGAAATCAGAAAGCTGTAACTGTCAACTTTTCAGTAGTCAATTGTGAACAAGCGACCAGACAAATAAAATTGCTTCGCTATTTCAGCAGAGCAATGTAACAGAAACTAATCTAATAGAGGTCTATCCAAGGTAAACATATATCAAGTATCAAAACAATTGGAGTAGCTGCTTTCAACAAAAAGTTAACAATAAAATTTTTGACCAAAAACGACAAAAATATAAGCTAAAATAGGGAATTGAAGATATAATCACAAAATTAACAATTTACATACCAAATCTCAAAGCAAATGAGCTGGTACATGTAGTTCTCAAGACGGAAATGTACATTTTGGTAATTTTTGGAGGACATCAAAATGGTTTTCACCTATATGAACAACTCTGTCCTCTATGATGAAAGCAGAGCTAAAAAAAAAAAACTTTTTTACCAGAAACAGGAAATCCACCAAAGATACAATCCTGGTAGGTCAGAACCAGCAAAAACAAGCCATGCATGGCACAGTCCTCGTTAGTTATCAAATTTAAGATATATAGTTTTGTTTATAGTAATATAGCTGGAATATAACCATGTCAGGAATATGATTTTTTAGCATTAAAATGATTTACATTTGTATCTGATCGTCAAACAAGTACTTGTCCATATTGAGAGATTGCTCTGGAATAGCATTAAAAATCTTGAATACATGTATATATATAACATGATGTATAACGAATATATAAAATTTGAATATAATCAGTCAAAGCATTTAAGAGATATGGCTCTAGAAGCCCAATCATTAAAACAAAATGGCCGCCAGTCAGCCATTTTTAATCCAATCTGAAAAATAAAATGACGTGCATCAGGAACTCATAATGTCTAGTGTATGTACCAAGTTTGAACGAAATCCATCCATAAATGTCAGAAATGCTTGATATTTGATAATTTTTTAGCACAAAAATGACTACAGGGTACCATTCGGCCATTTTGAATAGGATCGTCAAACCAATATATCTGTTTGATAATGAATATTTAAAATTTGAACATAATCAGTCAAAACAAGTCGGAGATGTGGATCTAGAAGCCCATTCATTAAAACAAAATGACCGCCAGACAGCCATTTTGAATCTGATCTGAAAAATAAATGATGGGCATCAGGAATCTGTAATGTCTAATATACGTACCAAGTTTGAATGAAATCCATCCATAAATGCTTAATATTTGATGATTTTTTAGCACAAAAATGGCACCATTTGGCCATTTTGAATAGGATCGTCAAACCAATATATCTGTCTATCTATGACATGATGTATAATGAATATTTAAAATTTGAACATAATCAGTGAAAGCACGTCAGAGATATGGCATGAGAACCACATTCATTAAAATAAAATGGCCGCCAGTCAGCCATTTTGAATCTTAATTGAAAAACAAAATTATTTGTATCAAGGTCCCATAGTGTCTAATGTATATACAAAGTTTGAACAAAAACCATCTGTAAACAGCCGAGAAATGCTTGATTTTGATGATTTTTAGCATAAAAATCAGATCGTGAAAAAAATTAACGTGCATATGTATAATATCATGTATGATGTATGTGTGAAGTTTGATTGTGATTGGTCCAGGCATTTCTAAGATACAGGTCAGGATGCACGCACACACGCACACACACACACACAGACACACGAGGTCAAAACATACTGCGTTCGAACGGGGACTAATAATGACACAATTTTGTTCCATTCTGCTATCACATTCAATCTACCATGCATAGGCTATTGTATTATTTTACAAAGGAGAGAGATGCAATAATGATCAGAATTAAAATATTGTACATATATTTTGGCAAGTTCTAAGTAAGTTTAGCCTTGTTCTGATATGATATGATTCATGTAATTTACAGAAAACTATTTTGGTTAACCTGGTAGTATTTTGTAATCGGTCCAAATATTGCAATCGCAATATAGTTAATGAATAATGAATATAGTTAATGTCTTGCCATCCTAAATCTTGCCAAAGACCCATTCCTATTAACTTTAAAAAGAAATTTGCCAAATTGATACTGGACCTCCATAGTTAATTGATGGCATGATTATATTTTGCCATAGGGCAACACTATCCTCGGGGGCGGAGCTACGTCACAGACGTTCTACGTTGCTAAGACACGCATCACTGTACCACGTATTTCTATGGACTTTGTGCACGCTGCTGTGGAACGCCGGTGAAAACTCGAGAAAACAACACAAAATCAACTTTGAAGTAATCCCGAACAACCAAATTTATATACCGGGGGTATGTTACACACGTAGGGCTAATCTTGTTACACTGTTCAGGGGAATCTCAACAAACATCCCAAAGCACCGTTTTCTGCGAGTTTTTGGTCTTTGTTTTCACCACGAGGGTTGCCAGGCGGTAGAAATTGCCCGGATGTCTGCCCCTGAGGATATTCAAATCTATTTTTAACTGTTACGTTGATTTACTGTATGCTAATAATTGATCCTCCATAATTTTGTGATAATGAAGTATTTGTATGTTTTAGTTTCTTCAACTGTCAAATTTCTTAATTTCCAAATTGTTCCTTTCTTGTGTAGCTTCTTTCCAAAATACATGTAGGATTTAAGATTGGTTAAAGCTTAACTTTCATTGCCCTGCAGTTTTGATGCAATATCTAAAATATTTTGCATTTCAACTGCATTTTTTGCTATGTCATCTGTCCAGAATAAACCAGGTATTATTTGTGTTCTAATCATTACCCCCAGTTTGGAATTATAGCTTTTTGCCAAATTCATTTATTTAAATTGTGAATAGTAGAAAACTTACAATGTAGTACACACCCTTCACAACTTTTGAAAATTAGAATTAGTAACCATAACCTAGCAATACAGGACGGCAGATATTCAATTCCTAAGAGACCTAAAAACAAAAGAATATTCAATATCTGTGACACAAATTCAATTGAAGATGAACATTTTCTATTGAATTGCCTAAAATATAACAAACACAAGGAAAACTTGATAAAAAAATTATTATACCACTTTTATCCAAAAATAAAAATATACAATTCACATATATTTATTCTCAAGCAAAGATCCCAGCATAATTGAAGAACTTGCCAATTATATTTACACAACACAAAGATTTATTTAACATTTAAATACGAGTTACCAACTTTTTATAATATTTTTACATATATCTTGTTAATATTTCAAAACTTTTGCTGTACTTATTCCATGTAAATCTAATACAGATTATTAAAATTGATATTAACATAGTTATACATGTCATCAATTATATTCCATATATTCCCTTCGATTCCTGCATTCCATAAAGAAACTCGTATCCTATCTCTCTAGAATCTATAGAAAAATCAAGGAAGGCAAAATCTATTATTTGTTTTCCATGAAGAAGCAGTGCCTTTAAGTGTGAACACATTATCCTCATATCGTCTATCTTTCCTAACACCACCTTCAATTTCGCCCAATAAATCAGTTTCTTCAACATATTTCTTTTAGTTTTGTTTCTACTATTTTAGCATACACTTTTGATACAGACGAGTTTGAGGTTATACCTTTATGGTTGCTTAGGTCTTTAATGTCTCCTTTTTTATGAATTGGTTTTACGATTCCTTTTTTTCCAATCATCTGGGATTTTACTGTCCCTCTGACATGATTGAAATAGAACTATTAAGGATTGTACTATGGATTCCCCACTACATTATCAGGGCAACACGCTTCACTCATTTTGCATACTTTTATTGCATTGCGAACATCATCGTCAGTTATGTTAACAGAAATGATTACTGGAAAATTAATGTCATCATAAATACTGTGAAATACTTTATTTTCGCTGGAATTTATTTTCGCTGAAAAGACTGTTTGGGTGTTTTGTATAGAATTTATTTTCACTGATTTTTGATGGGTTTAATGTAAAATATAGGAAAAAAGGTATATTCGCTGGATTTTATTTTCACTGAATCATTCCTTCAGCGAAAATAGCGAAAATTAATTCCAAGCGAAAATAAAGTATTCTACAGTACATGATATATAATATCTTTTGGTTGTCATAAATAATTCTAGAATATCAACATTACGTCCTACCTTTTAGCATTAATATTATTATGTGCTATTATTTTTTCAATCAGTGTTGATCTCCATGTGTTTCTTTTTACTCATCTGCTGGTAATTTTCCCCAGCATCTATATTGTCTACAAGCATTCCTTCTATCATTAATGATATCTCTTTATCCCACCACCCTTTACATCTATTATTTATTTCCAACATAAGTAGTGTTTTTCAAATCAAACATTGGTCATGGCGTAATCGGTGATTTAGTGTGCCTACAACTATAATCATTGTGTTGGTTCACCAACCCCAATAAATCGGCCACAGTTTTAACAAATGGAACTTTTTGACATCAAGTTTTTATGGTCCTATTATGTTAAGTCTGCAACTATTTTTTGATTTCATTTTCAGTAGCGGCTGCACCGATGGGAGCGAAAAAATGCGCAACCACTTGCGCCTATGGGTTACAAAGGGTGGTGAGCAGATCTCACCCCACCCCCTCCCCTCCTAACGTTTTATTTTTGACAACAGACATCAGTCAGCCTTGGCGTGATCAAAGATTTTTGCTGTTGAGTACACACTTGCATGAATAAACTGACTTCTGTTGGTCATTGTTTTGAGTGTCATAGAACAATAGCTGCAGTGATTTTAGACAATAGAAAAGATACAGAAAATAAACATGGCAGTGATTATTTTGAACATGACAGCATGGAAGTCTTTTAGATGTAGGCAGTCTGAAAAACAATCTGATTAAAATCTCATGTATTGTACGGCATCAGAGGTACATTACTTGGGGTTTGCAACTACGGTGACACGATACCAAGTTCCCGTTTCAATCTCCCTCTCACATAAGCGTTCCAACTCAGAAAAATGCGAATGCGCATGCCCGAGGTAACTGGGATACTAGGATGT